AAAAGAAACTGTGATGTAGTGGGTTATAAATCAGTATCAAGCTGATGACAGATGAAAGACATAAGGCACGACTAGTTGCAAAAAGGTATACTCAACAGTTCGAAATTGATTTCCTTGACACTTTCTACCCGGTTGCAAAACTAGTCACTATTAGGACATTATTATCTCTGGCTGCTATCTTCCATTGGAGTCTCACACAGTTAGATGTTACTAATACTTTCCTTCATGGGGATCTGCATGAAGAAGTATACATGACTCTTCCTCCAGGTTATTCTCCTCGAGAGGGGGAGACATTTCCACCGATGTTGTTTGTCGATTACACAATTCTATTTATGGATTGAAGCAAGCTTTGCGATAATGGTTATATAAATTTTTCACAGCCTTGACTCATTAAGGTTTTTTTTCAGTCACAATATGACCACTCACTGTTTGTCAAAAATTATGGAGATATCTTCATTGCTCTATTGGTTTATGTCGATGATATAGTAATTGTAAGTAATAATGATAATGCTGTCAAAGATCTCACATACAACTTGAATCAGAAATTTAAAATGAAAGAGTTTGGACCACTCAAATATTTCATTGGGCTTGAAGTTGCCAGAAACAATGATGGAATAACTCTATGTCAAAGAAAATATGCTTTTGATATGCTCTCTGAGGCTGGGTACTTATATTGCAAGTCGTCCTCTATTCCTATGGAACCCAATCTCAAGATTTACAAGGAAGGTAGAGAACTGTTTGGTGATGTCACCAGTTATAGATGGTTAATTGGGAAGCTATTGTATTTAACTATAACTCGGTCGAACATTTGTTACTCTGTTAATCGTCTGAGTCAATTCTTAACTGCTCCCCGGATAAGGCACCTTCAAGCTGCTCTAAAGATTTTACAGTATATTAAAGGAATACCAGGATAAGGGATTTATTTCCCTGCAGATTCTCATATTCAAGTAAAATCCTTCTCTGATGCCGACTGGGGCACCTGTCCTGACACCCAGAGATCTCTGACAGGATATTGTATTTTTGGCAGATCATCATTCATATTATGAAAATCCAATAAGCAACAAACTGTGTCTCGATCTTCTGCAGAAGCTAAATATCGCTATATAGAAAATACAACATGTGATATAGTATGGATCTTGAATTTAATGAAAGATTTGAATGTCACGCACATAAGGCCAACATT